TTAGGTGTTGGAACCGACGTGTCCTGAACTTCCTCTCTTCTTCCCCTTCTGGGTCCTGGCCCTACATACGGTTCGCGTCTCTTTGGTGTCATTATCTACCACAATTGAAAAAGGAACTAGGTCACAATTCATTCATAACACATCTCCTAGGTAATGTGCGATATAATGCCATAGTCGGTCATGGTATACTCTATAAATACTAACTTAACCTTTGTCTCTATGTTTCCGTCGCGTGAGAACGTCTGGTCGTGAGCGGCATGTGATTGACGAGCGAAGTCACAGAGGACACGACTCTCTATCTTAAATGTTTATAGGACCTATAACCTGGCTGCTCTGATACCAAATTTGTCACAGCCCACTACTCTGATACCAAATTTGTCACAGCCCAATATTTTACTACGGATCGTGACTAACGACACGACACAAATGCACAAAGGGATTTAAATATGAAATAAAGAAAATCATCAAATTTCAATAAAGTTTTTTTTCGAACGACAAACACAGAACACAAGACCGTTTGGAAAATAAATTTCAAAAGAATGCAAATATAAAAATAAAGACTAAGACTGGACTGACGCCCCGGGACAACCCATTCCTCTGTGACACTTCCCGTTTGATCACGCCCACTCTTGACCGACGCCTCGCGCTCCTGAACAAAAAAAAGAAAACATAGCAAGGATGAGTATAAAAATTATACTCAGTAAGCAACCTACTTGTAGGTTCTCTTTGCATCTTAATTTAACAGGTTGCCACGGTTTCCTATTTCGGTTCTAGGACATCTGGTTCTAATCTTGGTCCCTTGGGGCTTGCCCCTTGGGTTTCACTGGTTCTTCGTTCTTTCATTAAACGCCTAGAGGTTCTTTATGCCAAGCTAATATGGTCGGTATCTCTCTATGAGGTGCTACCTCTACATGGCTATCTGGGACTACATGGTACCTAGCCTAGGGGTGTGCTGAGTACCCCTAAGCCCATTTAGTCCCCCTATGGGAGGCGCGACCCAACCCGTTCCCATGCAGCTAATGGGCTGTACGACGTGGGGACACATTTCCCATGCGAAATGGCTAAGAGCAGTAAGGACAGATCAGGGACCCCTTGGTCCTCCCACGAAGCTATAGATACCGTTCACACGCTAGCAATCTATGAACGCTCTAGGGTACCTTCTTGCCGTTGTAAACCGCTAAGTTTCTAGGAAAAAATTAAGTCCGACTAGAGCGGCATATCGCTCCTAACAGTAATTCCCTAATCTTATCATAGAAATGAGCCCTAGCAATTAACAAAGGTACATGCAATCTTCTTCTAACATCATAGTATGTAATTCATGCAAACTAGGCATACCGGCTCAACGGGGCGATGACCTCCATCAAGCACCCAGAGCACGAAGTTCGCGCTCAATGGGGCGAATTCGTCCATCAAGCACCCGAAACCCGGCATACACAATTCTAACATAAATTAACGCGTGCACACATACAGCGGAAGCTTAAAGCATACAGCAACACTCATGTAATTTACCCAATACAATCACAACAGTTAATCTGACTAATAATTTACATGGAGAGATAATTTGAAGCAGAACTACTAGCATGCATGCAATCCGAGCGAATCCTACAAGTATTTCTTCCTAAATACCGGGTGGTGACTTACCTGGTTGACGCGTGCCCTTTTGCTAGCGTTTCTTTGCCCATGAGGTGTCCAAAAATATTGATTTCTTTAAATTAGGTCTCTATTCACGTAAAAACAGTATTAGAAGTGGAACGGGAACAAAAATCGGGCAAACAGAAAACAACCGGGCCAAATTAGCTGTTCCACGTGCGCTGGGAGTGCGTAGCCACGTGCGCGGGAAGGCGCCAGTGGCAGGCTGCACACGCGCTCGCTTCCGCGTAGTCGCGGGTAGGCCGGCCCGGTCGGCTCGGCTTGCGTTGCGGTTTGGCCTAGCTTGCAGGCGACACGTGTCGACGCCTCGCTGGAGCTGCGTTGCTCCAGCAGATGGTCGACGCGTGTCCGGCGCCTGTCGCCGCCCTCCGCCGCTCGCCGACCGCTTTTTTTTTTTTCTCTTTCTTCTTTCTTCTCTATCCTCTGAGAACCGAAACCCAGTCTATTTTTTTTTCCGATTTTCATATCTTTCAATCCATAGATCGGATCGATATGATTCCTTCGGCAAAGTTCTAGATCGTGTTACAGGCTACGTCCTAGTATTTTTTTTGTAATTTTTTCTTGACTATCGGATGATTTAAGAACATCAGAAATTCGCTCACCGTTCTCGAATGACTCTTGGATCTCCGCCTTTGGGTTGAGGTCTCGGCCAAACTTCTTCACAGACCGTGCGTGAGTTGTTCCTAGGTGAAGATTTCAGCATTTTAGGATCGATTCACATAGGGGAAAACTCAGATCTGAGCAATGTCGTTCAGAAACCTTACCTCGCGAAATGTTCTTAGGTTTTGACGGAGCGTCGGCCTTGCTAGCCTCTCAATCCTTGTACGATCTCGTCTGGAGATGGATTCCGGCGGTGGTCCGTTAATCTTCCCAGCTGACTCCTCTCTGATTTCTCTCTAACTTTTTTTTTTTTTTTTTGCGTTACAATTTTGTAACAGTTAAAAAGGTTAAGGTACTTGAAAGTTACTAATGCTTATGCATGTCAAGCTGTTTGGATGAGGAGAATACTCAAAGAGATTGGTTGCTCTCAAATAGAAGGAACAAAGCTAATGTATGATAATACTTCAACTATTAAGCTATCCAAAAATCCAATTCTACATGGGCGTTCCAAATACATAAGAGTAAGATTTCACTTTCTTAGAGTTCTGACAAAAGAAGGAACCGTTAATTTATTATTTTGTGATACTCGAAATCAAGTTGCTGATTTGTTGATAAAGCCTCTCAAATTAGAAGCATTTCAAAAATTGCTTGAAAAACTTGGTATGCAGAGTTTTCTGACTTCAATTAATTCTTGACAAAGAACTGTCAATAAGTTGAAGGGAGAAATTGTTACAAGAATAAGTTAGAGTATGTTTTGCTATTTAGTTTAACTAATTTGTGTGGTTAGTTTCTATTTTGATGGTTATTTGTAAGCCTATAAAAACTAAGTTCAATACACAATAATATTATCGCTTACTCCAATTGTTTATATTTCTTGCTTACTCAATAATATCATCCAAAACTCCAATTGTCTATATTTCTGATTTAGGCATTCTTCAGTCTAAACCTAACAATCACTCTTCTTATTTCCTTTGCAGTGCCCAATATTTGAGATCCAAAGATGAAAGCGGCAAATGATTTCATTCAAGACATCTGCAAAAAATTTAAGGGTGGGATGATCTTTGCAATTTTGTGATCGGATGTAATCGTCATGAACATTTAAAAAGCACAGTAGAAATCGACATCTGCAAACGTAACTTTTATTAGGGCCTTAGTTAGAATATTCGTACGTTGCTCTCGAGTGCATACAAACTCCACAAAGATTTTTCTCTTCTCAACACACTCATAGATGAAGTAGAAGCGAGTGTCTGCGTTTTGCTGCGTCCATGAAATACCGGATTCTTCATCTGTGCAATCGCAGATTTGTTGTCGACATAGAAAGTTACTAGCTTTAGTTCACTTCTAATCCCTTCGCTCAACAAATTTTTCAGCCACAATGCTTGGCACGACCCCACAGTTGCTACCATGAACTCGACTTCACAGGAAGATAAGGTCATAGTTCGCTGCTTCTGAGATTACTAAAAGATCAAATTTTTGTTAAGAAATTTTTTTGTTAACACACTAACGAATGAAGTGGAAGCGGCAAATTTCCCTTCTCGCCATGAACAAGGCACTAATCGAGCACCAAACCATGGACTTTACTTTAGGCTCCAAGTCAAGGTCTCTTATTGTTCATAAACTTGGGTAGCTATTTTAGCCTATGCAAAAGTAATAGTATATGATGTTGAGGCATTACCTCAAAAAAAAAAAAAAAAATCTCTATCAGGTGAGGACCACATAATGAGTGTTGGTCTGCTCGTCATCTCTAGAAGGTTAGCTGGCAAACCTGTCCCACAAGCCCTGTAATCACCCAAGGTTGGGGGGAGCTACCCCTTTGTACGTGCTACCTTTGCTGACTACCTGCATGATCAATGCCCACCCACGAGACAGATCCACCATGCAAGGTAATATAGCAAAATATCATGTCACACATCTCTAACAAATCTCACGCCTAGCTCGATTATACCATACTAGAGTGGAAAGGAAAGTGGAAGCTCCAAAGATACTGTACCAGCTACTATCGGCCTACATACTACCTTTGTCTACTAGGGTTGTTGTAATGGTCTTCTAGGTCTCTAAGGCAGTTTGGTGGTGTTGACATGGGTTCATGTCTTTAGGTTTCTCAGTTTCGACTCCTCAAGTCTGGTTCGGTTGAAAGCACTAGGCCTACACCCTCTTATCGTCTCTCACAATTCTAACGGTCTCAAGTAATTGTAGGTGTTTCATTCTAAGTCATTGTCTAGCCAAAATAATGCTCATACACATTCAATCATCTAGAGTTATTGTATAGTAAATCATGCACACAGTCGCACACATACAATATTTTGAATATGTGCGTTAGAAAGGTAAACACTTATCAATTATTATAATAACAATAAAGGATGAAGGTTTATGTTGGTCAAATTTAGAGTCACATTTAAGGAAAAAATATCAATGCGAAAAGAGTTTCAATACATCATATATAGAAGTGTTTATATTCAAATACAAATACAACATATTAAACAAGAAACATTCTCAGCTCCAAAACCTAGTCAATTGGCCCATAAGTAGAACAGCTCCAACCACACCATGACAAGTGTTACCTCCTCCTCTCAAACCCTAAACTTTCATGTGGCATGCAACCTTTATACGTGTCCAGCAATGTTTGGATCAAACTACTCTATAAAATCACAACAGGGAGTGTTCGTAATCAACAAATACAAATTTATTCACCAAAATCCTTTCAGGTTTCCAACTCTTTGTGTGCTTTTTGAATTCATCTGCAAAAGTAAATGGCAGACAGCTCTCAAAGTCTGAGCTACCAAATTGGAGAAGCTAAAGGGCAAGCACAGGTTCACTTTGCCTCTATTTTTTAAAATGATTCATGACTCATAATCATACGACTAAATATAAGATTAAGGAGTAATGGGTAATGTATTTATGGATGTGACTATGTAGGAGAAGGCGAGTAATTTGATGGACAAGGCAAGTGATGCAGCCCAATCAACCAAGGAATCAATACAAGAGGCAGGACAACAGATGCAAGCCAAAGCGCAAGGTGCAGTTGATGCTGTCAAAGATGCCACTGACACGAAGAAATGAAACTTTTCTATTTCCGAATAAGGATTTAAATTAAATTCTCATTTGGATTATAATGTTTCACTTTTGTATTTGGTTGGTTTCTTGTTTCTTCTTTTTCTTTTTGATAAAAATGCTCGAGTTCTTATTTTTTAATTTAATTTAAATCTCTATTCATATTGTTTTGAAGTATTATTGTAGTAATATATAATCATCGATTATGATAATGCAATTTGTCCTATTGGTAGTTGCTATGATTAGAGTATTGTACAAGGTTATTATAATATGAAGGCTTTAAAAATAAATTGTTGTTCATTTTCATTTTGATTTTTATTTAGACAAAAATACACTGGTTAGAATATATTTTTTAAAATTTATATTTTTATTCATATTTTTAACAATTCAATTGGGTTCATTACCAAATGACTTCATTTTAAAGACGAAATTTGCAAGTTGCAAATTGTTTGACGAGGATATCCTCCCATGATAGCTAGCATGAGGAGATAGTCAATGCAACACGTGGTGTAGTGAGAGTGCAACTACTTCTCCCTTGAGCGTGTCTATATGTACACATGGACGGCACGTGTGGGTGACCTTAAACCACGCGTGGAGGTGCATGAGCTAGGTATTTTGCCCCATTCAATCTTTGTTCGACTATTTTTCATTTCGATGTGAATATGACATTAATATGATTTGAATTATGACCTACTATAGAAATTTTAAAAAATTTGGAGCTCATAACACATAAAAAAGATAGCCCGGGAAAGCCCGTGCTATCTATAAGTAGCCATTCATAATTTCTTCAATAAATATTTGTAAGAATCACTAGGACATGCTTAGCATATCTTGGCTTTAGATGTTAGAATATGCATGGTTAAAACTCAGTATGGATAATTAGGATGAGATTGCCATACATGTTATGAATAATTATCGATTTTAATGATTATTGTTGTGTGAAAATGGAGGATGGAAAATTGTGGTATGTACTTCGGTCGATTGATAGATAATATCTCCCTATTGAGTTTGTATCTATGCATGATATAGTATGTTTAGCTCCAAGCTTGTAAAGCGTGTTTGTTGGCTCAAAACAAAGACAAGGTGCTAAAGTTGGTCTAACTAGATGATGACCTAGGTCAAGACGCCTCTAATAGACTTAGCACCTTAGGATCGTGAATAGATGACCTAGGTCAAGACGCCTCTAGTAGACTTAGCACCTTAAGATCGTGAATAGTAATCAAGGGGTCTAGACCCTAGTGCTCCCAGACTAAGAAATACTAGAGGAATCGGAACAAAGTACGTTAAATTCGAAAGTCTGCGTTAAGCCACTTATCTGCCTTAAGGACCTAGTAGATCTCCTCAGCACCTAAGGATGACTTAGGTGATGTTTAGAATATGTTTTATGTTCTTTTGGTAATCGATAGGAATCTCTCCCTAATAAAACATGCTTGAGTGAACCAACTTAAGATTAGGGTGCTAGAGCTAGAGAAGTTTACATGCTGACCTAGGTTAATATGTTTTTAGTAGTCCGTGCACCCTAGGATTGTGAACGGTCATCAGAGGTTTAGACTTGAGTGCACCAAGAGATTGGATTAGCACGAGGAGATAATCTTGAGCATCATGAAAATGCGAGAAGAGATTTAGATGCCTTATATAAACCTAGTAGACCTCAATGACAAAGATGCCTAAGAAAGCTCGACAGGCCTAGTAGTTATGTGATGGTATCATAGAGTCTTCACCTCTTATCTTCTCTAGTACACCCTTTCGTGTTCCTTACCAAGCAATAGTACTTCAAGTACCATTAAGTTACGTCTAGATCAAATTATGTAGTGGGTTAAGGAAACAAGATCCCATTATCATGTTTGAAAATAGCTAAGTGTCTCTTAAACGGGACTTTTGCGCGATAAACTCATCTTGAGAGAGGATGTAGGACCAAGTAGATAACTTAGTAGTTGGTTGAGAGATGAAGGTCGCTCCCACAAGATTCAAAGTGACTTCATTGCCTTGTGGAAGGGTTATCAACTAACTTCTAATAGATGAGGATAATGTTCAAACTAGCTAGATGTCGTACTGTCTTAACTGATTTTATGAGGTAGCACCTCAATCCACGGTACTAGTCATTCATTTTTGTGGTTATATAAGCAGACGGTCTAAGAACAGAAAAGCAGTTCACCTTGAAGATGAGATTTGTTCCTCAATAAACACATGACACTAGAAATGGGTGAAAAACCACCCATAAGTAAGTTGCTTACTGATTATTTTTTATACTCACCTCTTTTCCATTCATTTTTTCAGGTGTTCATGGGTTGTTGATCAAGATGGGGAAGCATTCAAGAATGGTGCCATCCCAAGACATAGTTCACCTTTGTATTTCGAGTATTTTGTTTTTCATATTGAAATTGTATCTGAATCCTATTTTTTCATTTATAATAAAATAGAATTGCACATTCTTGTAATTAGATTGCATTTTGTTGGTGTTGTTTCTTTTAATTTGATTTAAATTTTATTGTTTTTTTATATTTTATTTTATTTTCTTATATCTTTGTCCTTTTAAACATAGTTTGAGTTTTAAAACCTCAAAAATAAGGTTGTGTCCTATTCGGGTCAAAATAGTCAGGTTTTAGGTTCTGTAGGCTCTTTTTTAGACGAGAATTGTATACCTTTATGACTCAACTCAATGACGCACCTCACCTCGACTAAATATATAGTCTAACCTATAAATTTATGAAATGTTATAAGTCATGTATGAACTGATGTATGATTTAGGGGAAGCAGCTAAAAAATGGCAATATCTATTAGTGATGGACTTGGGCCGTTACACCATGTCTTCCTAAAGGTAGCATCTATGGGGGGAGTATTGAGGGAAAGATGAGCCAAAATTTCATAGGCCCTGTGAGATCGTAAAGAGGGTATGGCCTATGGTGTATAAATTAGCGTTGTCATCCATCCTTGTAGTCATGCATAACGTGTTCTAGTCCCTATGTTGTAGAAGTAAACCCTAGATCATATGCATGTCGCTAAGCTTGAGGCGCTTCTTATTACAGAGGAGGATTTGTCTTTGTCTTATTTAGATAAGCCTATCATGATAATTGCTTGCGACATGAAGCAATTGCACAATAAAGCGATTCCCTTGGTAAAGGTTCTACGGAGAAGCCATCAAGGTGATGTAGTGATCTAGAAATGCAAGGAAGACAAGAGAAAGTCCAACCCTGTTAGTGCTTCAATAAGGTCACAAGGAGGCCTTTTTTTTTTTTTTTTTTGGCTAAAGTCCCTTCATATAACTTACTCATAATGCTGTGAAGAATGCATCTAAACTCTTGGATTTTTTAAATCCATCAAGAAACAAGGAAGATCAGGAGGTTCTTTCAAGTTTTTTGTTCTCAATTTTTCTATATATCCAAGAGATACTTGCAATTAGATTCTAAAATTTTAATACGTTGTTCCTAGGAAGATTTCACAACTTCTATGAAGAAGCTAAAGATGAATCACACCGCTTCTAAAGAAGCTAAAGATGAATCCACCGCTTCTATAAAAGAAGCTAAAGATGAATCAGACCACATGAAGTTTTGACAAGCTATTCTAAGACTACTTTAAATTACTTTAGACACATTTATTTCTCTCAACCCTTAAATAAATTAAAAGAAAATAATTTTTTTTTTGGAAAGCTAAATTAGAAACCTACAATTTTGGTGAAGGATCCAAGCACGCTCAAATTAGGCAGAAAAAGATACAAAAATCTGCAAAAAAAAAATAAAATAATAAATAAATAAATAATAATAATAATAATAATAATGCGAGGGAGGAGATAACTACAAGAGGTCAAGTGTCACGCAGAGAGGGGGCGAGTGCGTCAGGCTAGAAGAAGGCCACGTGTTAGATGAACAGATGAACAGGATCATCTCATGTTTGGCATGAGGAAGCGTGTTGATGACTTGTTGGCACATGTGATCCATGAAGTGACTCGATCCGGAACCAAATCAGGACCTGATCCGCTACCCACTTCGAATTGAACCAACTGCTCCGACTCAGACTACCAGTGCTTCGCCCGACTTAACATAGAAGCTCCAGTCAATGAATGCCTAGACTGTGTTTGTATGTGCATTTAAACTATGTTATGATCGTACATTTTTAACCATGTAGCATCATGATTTTGACACCCTCGTAACAATCGTCAAGGAGAACTCAAGCCTCATACTCACTTTTCACCCATCTTTATGGCTTCGTTGAGTCTTAGACGAGATTTTCCTTTACCACAACACAACTCATGTTGAATTTAAGCTTGTTTGGCCATACACGCCACCCATGCATGCATATTCTATCATCTTCAACTTTATCTAACTTGCCTGCCTATACTAAGCCAATTTGTCTGGCTCGACCTTGTCTCTACTCGGGGTCAAGGTCTCTCATGCACAACTTCGTATCTTATATACTCTCATCTTGGTTCCTAATTAAAATCGCCCACATTTCTTTATTCGATCTCAAGTCCTAGGATGTCATCAGTCATCATAGCTCCTCGATTATATCCATCAACAATGGGCCCATGTTTCATTTATATTTTCGGGGCCTTCCAAACATCCATCCATTCGGGTTCTATCAAGGCATTGGACCATTTTGTGTCCATGTCATATCATTTACGGACTCCATATCGGAAAGCGGGTCCATATACTAACCTCCAACACATGGGCGAAGGCACAATGTCAGTACACCCATGTCGTCTAACATTGTCTTTGAAAGACCCATTTCAAAGGAAGTCGCCTGAGACACTCGTAAAACTTGCTCTCACTGTGACACATGTATGTGCCACAAGGTAGCTCGCTTAGGTCATAGGGCCCCAAGTGGTAAAGAATTGACATCATGCCTCCCTTTAAGGTACATTTTGAGGCGTTCCTAATATGTACTTGTGCCACAAGGTAGCTCGCTTAGGTCATAGGGCCCCAAGTGGTAGAGAATTGACATCATGCCTCCCTTTAAGGTACATTTTGAGGCGTTCCTAATATTTGTAGAGTACATATAATTTTTGTGAATGGTTACACAGCCTCGTGGGCATTTCCAATCTTTTTAGAGTACATATAATTTTTGCAAATGAGCTTTGTTTGTGCTTCACCTACGG